AAAAAATCAGGAAAGGTATGTGTCAGGGTTATATCCTTTCAGCATATTTATTCTATCTGTATGATGAGCACATAATGTGAGAAGCTGGACTATATGAAAAAGAACGTGGCTCAGGGCTGGAGGAAGACATGTTAACAACCTTTGACATGCAGATGACACAAGCTGGCTTGCTGAAAGTGAAAAGGACTTGAAACAGTGATGAAGATCAAAGACTATAGTCTTTAGTATGGATTATGCCTCAACATAAAGAAAACAAAACTCACAATTGTATCAATAATCAATATCATAATAAATGGAAAAAAGATTGAAGTTGTCAAGGATTTAATTTTACTTAAATCCACAATCAGTGCCCATGGAATCAGCGTCAAAAAATCAAAAGACATTGCATTGGGCAAATCTGCTGCAAAAGACTTCTTTAAAGTGTTAAGGAGCAAAGATGTTACTCTGAGGACTAAGGTACACCTGATCCAAGCCTCATAAGCAGTTGCCTCACAAGCTTCTGCATGTGAAAGCTGGACAAGGGATAAGGAAGACTGAAGAAAAATTGATACCTTTAAATTATGGTGTTGGCAAATAATACTAAATATACCACGGACTACTCTGGTGGCGTAGTGGCTCAGGCATTTGACTGCTAACCAGAAGGTTGGAGGTTCAACCCCCCCAGCCACTCCTCAGAAAGAAGATTGGGCAATCTACTTCTGTAGTGATGAACACCTTGGAAACCCAAGGAAGGGTCGCTATGAGTCGGATCTGACTTGATGGCAGTGAGTTTGCTGGAAGAACAAATAGATCTGTTTGGAGGAGTGCCGTCAGAATGTTACATAGAACTGAGGATGATGAGACATCTCATGTACTTTGAACATGTTATCAGGAGGGACCAGTCCCTGGAGAAGGACATCATGTTTGGTAAAGTAGAGGGTCAATGAAAAAGAGTAAGACCCTCAATGACATGGATTGACAAGTGGCTGCAACAATGGGCTCAAACATAGTAACGACTGTGAGGATGGTGCAGGACAAGGCAGTGTTTTCATTCTTCTGTACACAGATAGGGTCACTGAGTTGGAACTGACTTGACAGCACCTAACAACAATCTTCAGGTATCAATTTAGATATACTTCATTCATCTGTTTTTATATTTAACATTCTTCTGTTTTTATATTTAACAAATGTTTTTGAGCCCTAGTGCCTAAGGCACTTGACTGCTAACCAGAAGGATGGCGGTTCAAACCCACCAGCCACTCCTTGGAAGGAAGATGGGGCAATCTACTTCTGTAGTGATACTGCCTCAGAAACCTGAGGAGGGGTCGCTATGAGTGAGGGCTGACTCGATGGCATATAACAACAACACCACCACCATGTTCTACATGTGGCTCTACATGTTTGCTAGATTGTTGCATTGTATCTTCTCTAGAAAATCCTTTTAGATACTCACCCTAGACTTTGTCAAAATATATGTCACACTATTTTTAATTGCCTGGATTAGTGTATATCTTCTGGTAAACTGTAGGCACCATGAAGGCAAGGACAGTGCCTTATCTCTTCTATTGTTGTTGTTGTTATGTGCCGTCGAGTCGGCCCCAACTCATAGCGACCCCTCCTTGGGTTTCCGAGGCAGTATCACTATGGAAGTAGGATTGCCCAACCTTCCTTCCGAGGAGTGGCTGGTGGGTTTGAACCACCAGCCGTCTGGTTAGCAGGCAAGTGTCTTAGCCACTATGCTACCAGAGCTCCCATCTCTTCTATTAGGAGGCAATATAATCTAATATTACTAGTATATAACAATATTGAGCTGTTACTTTGTGCCAACACTTTTAAATATAAGATCTCATTTCATCCTTATCAAAACCTATCTCAGGATCTCAGTTCTCCCATCTGTAAAATGGGAGAAGGATAATCACCTCAGAAAAATGTGGCAACTTTAGTTTTGTGTATTTCACTGTATATAAAGTATATTTCAATAAAAGGAATTAAAAAAAAAAAAAAGAAAAGAAAATTGTAGTGAGAATTAGATACCGGTTGCCATCAAGTTGATTCTAAGTCATAAGCATCCCATGTGTGTTGAGAGTGGAACAGTGCTCAATAGTGTTTTCAATGGCAGAAGTAGATCATCAGTCTTCCTTCTGAGGTGCCTCTGGGTGGACTTGAACCTCCAACCTTTCATTTAGCAGCTGAACATGTTAGCCATTTGTACCACCCAGGGACTCCAAGGATTAGATAAATAGAGATCTGTGTCATGTAGACGTGATATAGATAGAGACCTAGATGTAAACATAGATATAGACATATATGTCAGTGGGTGTCTGGACAAAAAATATGGTGTTCAATTAATTTTTATTGAGTACAGTAATGAATAAATGAATGAACCAGTTGAATATGAAAGAGGAAACAGATGGAAGAGTCCAGAATGACTCCTGGAATTTGATTTCAATGAGTAAATGTATGGTGGTGCCGTTTCCTACGGTGGAGAACACTGAAAGAAATACACACTACTGTGGCTATTGAGAAGGAGCTTTGATAGTGCTGCTATGAGTCGGATTCGACTCGATGGCAGTGGGCTTGGTTTTTGGTTTTTGGTACGGCTGTTGAGTGAATGACCTCAGGATCTGCAACTGAATGATCCCTAAAACTATGAACATCTCTTATCCAGACTTTGGGGTGATTATGTTGTGCTATGGTATAAGTGATTCATAAATAATAGTGGCACCCCTAAACCAGACCAACAATTCTTGGTATTAATCAGCTTGGGAAAAGATATGGACCAAGGTAAGAAACTGGAATTTAGAAAGCATAGGAAAGGGGAGTCCTGTCCTTCTCTGAACTTTTCTTTTGTATTTCAGCTGAGTCTTGAAGGCTAATAAAAAGCTTGGCATCCTAAACTGTAGATGATAGGAGGGCACCAGTACCTTGAGAACTCCTTGAGACACCATTTATATAGAGAACACAATGAAAACCATGTACAGAGACACAATGTAAGTCAGGCCCCTGGAGTTGGACAACGCTGAGGATTTTGACAGCTCTGAGGATACCAATCAGAAGAGGCAGGCTAGACATTTCCCTTCTCCCCCATTGCCATCAACTTGATTCTGACTCATAATGAAACTATATAGGACAGAGCAGAATTGCCCTACAGGGTTTCCAATGCTGTAATCTTCACAGAAGCAAACTGCCACATCTTTCTCCCACACAGCTGGTGGATAAGTGCTTAATCACTGTGACTCTAGAACTACAGTTAGGCATCCAAAACCAACCAAACTCACTGCCCTCAAAGTCAGTCCTGACTCACAGCGACCCCTCCTTACAGAAGTAGACTGCCCAACCTTCCTTCTGAGGAGTGGCTGGTGGGTATGAACCGCCAGCCTTCTGGTACGCAGTCAAATGCCTTAGGCCCTACGCCACCATTGCTCCCACAGTTAAGCATAGGGAGCTATAAAACCTGAAAGCGCTATAAAAAGTTATATCTTGTCAGTTAAATTATCTGCTTGTGAGTTGGGCACTAGCTTGCTTCCCTGAAGTTATCCATGAACTTTTATCAAATTTTTTTGTAGCAGCTCATTAACATTTTTGTTAATGGGAGAGGAAAGAATAAGCTTAACAAATTATTCAAGAAAGAATAGTTTTATATTAAGAATATAAAATTTAGTTCTTTTTAAGGGTTTTAAGTAGTTTTGTTTAAGGGAAAGAAGGATTGAATAGCTAGTATAAATCCTGTTTAGGGTTAATGTTAAACTGAAGGTATTTGGGGTCCTGATTCCATCTATGCAGGGACGACATTCCAACCTTCACTGGAAGCTATTCCTTAATCTTTCCTTAAGAAAAAATGTTCAGCTTTTTAAATCAATAATAGCAAAAATTTCTAATACTTATTTAAATATAAAACAGGCATTAAAGCTATCTTGTAAGATTTTGTAAGGATTGAATGCAATTAATACTATATGTAAAATGCCCAGTCCTAAGAACTCTGTTCCAGTGTGCTGTTTTGCAGGGGTGTTTATGTATGTCCTTTCTAGCAATTAAAATCAGCTTTCAGAGGTTAAAAAAAAAAGTCCTATGTAACAGGAAGGAAACTTTTTTTTTTTTTTTTTTTGCTATTTCAGAATTCTTCTTATTAAAACAAAAACCAAAGAAAAAAAAGACTTTTATTTACTTTGGGGAAAATAAAACACTTTCAACAGGGAATATTTGGCTACGAAAGGCGTGATGACCCCCCACTCCACCAGTCAGCCAGATAGGATAGGTTTATTCAAAGAAGAAAATTGCTCTGTGTAAGACAGCAACAGGGTTTAGACTAGGAAAATCTCTTATTACATGAGAACTTAATTTGGGGAGCTGTAAAAATAGGGTAACATTGTGGAGCAGGTATTGAAGAGATGAAAGGGGAAGGGAAAAGTCGGTTGTTGGGAAATGCCTTGTTGATGAGAGTAACTGGGGAAATTCAGGACATTGATGTCTAGTGTTCCATTTAAATCTATTTCCTATTCTGTGCAGTCATGTAAATTGTCCCCTACCACCATCACCCATCCATATTTCCTCACTGTATGCAACAACAGCCTTATGTTTCTGGTGGTTTTGTGGAAGGAAGGTGTACAGTGGCAAAGCAGTATAGAAAAAGGATAACTACAAGAGATGAACCAACTAATAATGATAGAGAACTCTGGCAAAGAAAAGGATAAGAGTGAGAGGTGACCATGAGAACATAATCCCTGCTCTGTTCTTCATGGGATTTTGGGAAGCATAATGAAATTCACACAGTCAAGGCACTAGGGACAGACAGAAGCAGACACTTGGGTTTCACGTGCTTAGATAAGAATCAGTCTGCTTTTAGCTGTGCTGTGGGGAATATTTGAAGCTGAGTTCTAAAGGAAGAGGCAACGGGGATTAGAGAGATCCCTAAGGAAAAGCATGCTCTAGGGAGACAAGAACCAGCTCTGGTTAGTTCCTCCTATTTGAGCTCCTCCTTGACCCTACTCTGCATGCATGCCTCATCATTTTCTGGGCTTTACCTTGCGGGAGCCTTTTAACTGCTGTTCCAAGTTGAAGACCAGGCTAGCATAGGCATTATGCTGTTCAACCAGCAATTTCAGATTCTCCAGGGCATTCTGGACCCTGGAAATACAATGTACCAGTGAGTGGACCTGGGAGAACGGAAGGAGGTACACTGCAGGGAATGGGGATACTCACTGCTGGGCCTTGTTCCTTGTCTGCAGGGCTATCTGGTGCTGCAGCAACAGGAAGATATCCAGGAAGTCTAGGAAGTTCTTGGGGGTGACAAGTGGCAGTCCAGGGCACAGGTGCTCAGTGTAGCTGGCAGCCGAAAGGTGAATGAAAGCCATGGCTTTGGAAAGCTTGGTAATTGAGGCCCGGAGTTCTGGGCACTTTATAGAGCCTACAAAAGACATAACCTCAGCCTGGCTTTGTAGTTTGTAAGGGATCAGGAAAAAGAAGTCACTCTTTTCTAACTTAAGACGGGGGGCAGAAAAGATAAAGAGGGCTTACTAGGTTCTAGAGAAAGAGACTAGGTAATAACTCTCATTAGAACCTGAGTGACATAAGTGGCGAGAACAGGTCAAGGAGGCTCACCATCACCAGAGGGTAGACTCTGAGCACCCTCCAGGTGGTGATGGGCCACAGCGACCAGGTCAGGTTGGTCCCAAGGTTCATAGTGATCAATGCTGGCAACAGCAAGTTGAAGGAGCCTCAGGAACAGGCTGGAAGGCAGCTGGTTGTGGACCTGGTCATCTCTGATCAGGAAGAACAGGTGCAGGTGGCTGCACACTTGCTGGTAGAACCTGTGGGCCAAGGGCTCAGATGCTATCTTCCCCTTTGCCCCTGTTTACCCTTCCAGGCCCCAAACTCCAACCCCTTAATCTCGATCTTCTGTACCCTGATGGTAGCCCCTAGATTTCCTCATGGCCTTTTGGCCAGGATGGGGTAAGAGCAGCAGACCTTGATATGGCAGTCCTTGGCCTTACCTGTGAAACACCATTTCCTTCTTGATGTTCTGTTTGATACCAAGGCTCTCTCTGGGGAGATGTTCCTCAACAATAAACAGATCTGCTTCTGTATACTGGTCAGGGAAACTGCCTGAAGTTGCCAAGGCCAGCAGGCGATGAAAAGTGATAAGATCCACACCCTCAGGCACCAACAGGGCTACTTGCTGGCCTAACATGCCAGCATGCCAGCTGGCATCCTGTAGACACTGGAGAATGGCCTCCTCTGGTCCAGATGGCAGATAGAGGAGGTGGGCCTGGCAAATACTAGCAGCCAAAGTAATGGCAGTACGGCGCCCAGTACTCAGAGCCCTTGAAAGTAGTAGGCCATGCTGCCGGGGCCTAGCCAGCACCCGGACCAGGCGGGCCACATGCTGGGTCATGGAGCGACACAGGCCAAGCTGGGGCCTCAGCTGCAGCTGAGCAATTGAGGTGGCCAGCTGCTTTTCCAGGCTCCCCCACTGTCGCTCCATGTACATGTTAGTGCTCTCTGAGATGGACCCCAGTATCAGCTCCTGACTGAAGATCAGGTCTGAGGCCTTTTCATGGGGATGGAGCAGTAGCACTGGTAGCAACAGGGGTGTTACTAGGTCCATCTGGGATGTCTTCTGCCACCAATTTTTGGATCTTTTTACCTGGAGCTTGAAGCTGGGGATACTTGTGTCTTCCTCCTGGTTTGTCTTCTGACTTGTGGAATTCAAACTCTCCTTGATTACCGGTATCATGGGTGGCATTAGACTTGGATTGCTGGAGTGTAAACCTGTGGGCATCTTAAGGGCATAAGGGTCCCCTTCCTCCTCTGTCTCACTGCCACTATTGCTTAACTCCTCCCACTGGGCCAACTCCCCTTCAGATTCCACTTCAGGCACCTTTTCCTCTTCCTCTTCATCCTCATAACACTTGCCCAGGTTCTGGGGCTCCGATCTTGAGCAGAAAACACACTGAGCTATTTCTAAGAGCAGCCTGGCACAGTGGGAGCGTTCTCTAGGGCTGTTCAATCGGTCACAAAATGTCCTCTGTGCCTCATGCAACCAAAGGCGCACCATGTTGCGTGTGGCCATCATAATGGTCAGGCGGGTACCACGCAAACCTGACACCCGACGCAAGTGTTCCTGGTGGTTGAGACAGTCTGTGAAACCTCGGGACCCCACTCTGGTCGGCAACAGCTGTAGGCTGCCTAGTAGGTGGCTCACAGAATGCAAGGAGAAGCGGTAGTGTGGGTGAAGGGGTGAAGGCATGAAGCAGCTGCATACAGCTTTCCAGGCATCCACTGAGGCCTGAACCAGGAATCCTGCCAGTATCCCCCCCTGCTCCACAGAAGGGAAGCGTTCAAGCCAGGCCTGGATGCTAGAGGTGTGCCTGCTCAGCAGGGTTGCCTGGGTCATGCTGCCCATGGCCAACACTGTGAAGAGTCGAAAGAGGCGTGGGCACAGTGGGCGCTCACAGAAGCCTGGCACTGTGGCAGTAGCAAGGAAGTTGACTATAGGCTGCAGTGTCTGTAGTTCCAAGGTGTTATGGTCATAAATGGTGCCATCTATGGCTTGGCGTAGAGTCTCCAACACTGGTTGGCAGCTCTTCTCTGGATCTGTGGGACATGAAGAATAGTCGTGAGTACATGAGTGAGAGTATCACCTTGTTCCTCCTATCCCTCTTCTCATCTCACTAGGCCTGCTTCCAGAACACCCAGCGTTCTGAAGGAATTTTGTGCGTTGGTTATGGTGGGCCTTGGTCATGTCTGAGAAAGTGGTTCTCTCTCCACCACTTTTAAGGAAAATGAGTACACTACTTTCTTCTCCCCCAAATCCTATCTCCATAACCAATTATTCATTAACTGAAGGCTAATGACTAGGAAGATTTGGAAGCTGAGATGGATGGAAACTACACTTGACCAAAATAGAGGGGAAAGTGCAGTTATCTCAGTCAAAGAGAGTGAGTTTACATCACACACACATTTTAAAAATCTACTTAATCAAAATATGGTTTACATAAAACAAAACAAAACATACTTATTGTAAGTGTGAGTTCAAGGAGTTTTGACAAATATGTGCACCTGTTTACCTGCTATTCTAATGATACTTGTGCTTTTTCATCACTCCAGAAAGTTTTCTCATGCTTCCTTGCAGTCAATCCCCCAACCATGACCATACCAGGCAACAACTGATTTCTATTACTATTGCTTTGCCTAGTTCTAGACCCTCATATAAATGTTGTGTCTGCCTTCTTTCACTCAGCATGTTTTTGAGATTCGACCATGCTATTGTAGCAGTACCTTGTTTATTTTATTTCTGTATAGTATTCTATTATATCTACAAAAATTTGTAGATCCATTAATGTGTTGATGGACATTTATGTTGTTTTGAGGTTTTGGCTATTCTGAAAATTGCTACTATGAACATTCATGTATAAGTTTACTTGAGGGCATGGATATTTATTTCACATGGTGAGTCATATGATAAGTGCATGTTTAATGATAAGAAACTGCCATACATTTGTATGTTGTACCATTTTACACTTCCACCAGCAATGTGTGAGTTTCTATTGCTCCACATCTCTGTAAATACTTGATATTGTCGCAAACGCAACACAACGCACTGCCAAGTTGGATCTGTCAACTGTCAAGTTGGATCCAATGCACAGCGAGCCCTCCTTGGGTTTCCGAGGCAGTATCTCTAGTAGATTGTCCATCCTTCCTTCTGAGGAATGGCTGGTGGGTTTGAGCCATCAGCCTTCTGGTCAGCAGTCAGATGCCTTAGGCACTAAGCCACCAGAGCTCCTTTGTTATTGTCAGTCATTTTAATTATAATCTTTCTAGTGGATGTGATATGCTCTCTCAAGCTTGTTATAATTTGCTATTCTCTGTCTTAGTTTCTCCATCCAAAGGTAATCACAAGTCTCCATCTTACTAGGCTCTTATGAATAAAGATGACATAGATAAAGCACATAGTCCAAAACCAAACCAAATTCACTGTCATCGAGTCAATTCTGACTCATAGTAACCCCCTTTGCGTTTCTGAGGTGGTAAATCTTTACGGAAGTAGATTGCCCCGTCTTCCTTCTGAGAAGTAACTGGTGGGTTTGAACCACCAACCTTCTGGTTAGCAGTCAAATGCCTTAGGCACTACACCACCAGAGTTCCTTAAGCACATAGCAGTTAATCAATACATTGTACCTACTATTAGTAAGCTCTGGTGGTGTAGTGCCTAAGCCATTTGACTGTTAACCAGAAGGCTGGCAGTTCAAACCCACTAGCCATTCCTTGGAAGGAAGATTGGGCAATCTACTTCTGTAGACATAATGCCTCAAAAACCCAAGGAGAGGTTGGTATGAGTCGAATCAGTTGGACTCAACGGCAGTGAGTTTGGTTTGGTTTGTTTTTTTTTACCACCTGGCTCAAATTTTCTAGATCCCATAAGAAATTTATGGTCTTCCTGGACTGCTTATCTGATCATTTAGTCCATTTACTTCCTTGACTCCAACAACCTGTACCTATACTTCCTATTCCCATTATGCTGCCCATTCCCATGGTCATATTCTGAAGTTGTCATCCTCTGGATGTGCACCAGTTTATAATCTTTAATATCCCAAACTTTCATCACAATTTATTCACTTTCCTTTCTTATCTTTTCTTCTATAAATTCTTATTGAGCACTTACTTCCTGTTATATCTATCAAAATAAATAAGACGTATTCCAGTTCTTAAACGTCCCTGGGTAGTGCAAATAGTTAAACACTCAACTACCAGCCAAAAGGTTTGCAGTTCAAACCCATCCAGAGGCACCTTGAAGACAGGCCTTGCAATCTGCTTCTGAAAGGTCATAGCTTTGAAAACCCTATGCAGCAGTTCTACTCTGCACACGTGGACTTGCCTTGAGTTGGAATCGACTGACGTCAACTAAAAACAATCCCTGTCCTCATGAAGCAGAGTGTGGAGGAAGGTACAAAAAAGTAAACATACAATTATAAAATCGTAAACATACAATTATAAATTCTCACAGGTTAATGTGCAGACACAGGATAGGTATCTAATCTAGTCTGGGGGCCCAGGATTCCTAGAGGAGACGTTGCCTGACATGATTTAGCCAGATGAAAAGGAGAGAGCAAAAAGGAAGCTTGACTTGTTGGATGCCTGCATGTAGTTGAGTCCAGTTAGATTAGAGTCTAAGAGGCTAGAGAAGAAAGCCTCATCATAAAGAGCCTTATGAGAGCATTTGCCAAAGTTCCAGGTAATGATTGTGTGAAACAGGGAGCATGGAATGGAAATAAGCAGGAAGATTCAAGGGATATTTAGCAGGTAGAATGAAAAGACCTGGTGACCAGGTGAGCAGACACTGGTGAGGGAGGGAGATGCCAACAAAATTTCTGGCTGAAGTGACTGGTTGGATGGTGCTCCTAGTTGCTAAGAGGACAAAAATGTCAGGTTTTGTGGGGAAGATGATGATCTCAGAGTTGGATCTGTGATGCTAATGGGACAACAAGGTGGAGATGTACAGTAAATGGATGGAGAAACAGATACGGTGCTTAGAAGAGAAATCTATGTTGGAGACAGAGATTCGACAGTTGAAGCATAGAAAGGGTAAATGAAGCTGTGGGGGTGCATGTGATTGCTTAGGGAACATGTAGATGAGAAGATATTATGAACAGAGCAGGAAGTTTGATCTGGAGTTATATACTTGAAGGATTTTACAGTCTCAAGTGATGATAGCACTTCCGTTCTTCCCTCCTCCCAGTGCCTCACCAGAAGCCGCCAGGTGTAGATCCTCCAGCAGGAAGAGGAGGGAGCCTTTAGAATCCTGGTGATGCTCAGGCAGTGGGGTGGTTTGTGCTTGGCCCTGGACCCCTTGGCTTAACAGGAGGCGAAGGTGGGTAGAACTGAAGGCAGGGTGAATGGAGATGTATGTGTAGGGGTGATTTGGCTCCACTAGCACCTCCACAAAAGCTGACTTCCCTGATGCTGCCTCTCCAGTCAGCAGCACTGGCTGTCCTCTTTGCAGAAGCAGGTCCACCACATATAAGAGCCGTTCAGTCTGCAGGACAGGAGCAGGACTTACTATGGTAGCTCCAGTCTAGGACAGTAATCTAGCTGAAAATAAACTTCTAGGGGACATGTCTTAAAGATACGCTTGCAGAACACTTTACATATATATAATTGTAAAAGCCTTTCAAAGAATGGGAGTAGGTGGGCATCAGCTAGGCCTAGAACTTGGACTGTTCTGGAGATATCTCCTTGAGCCCCAACCCCAGCTACTGGCCCACAGTCTTCACACCTGGGGAGAAGGGCTGAAGGTTCCCAGAGTTCCTTTGATGTGGCTGCCCAGGTAATGGCCAGTGAAGGGGACCAGTGTCCCATCTTCAGGGCACACGTGTAGATCGAACAGCAAGGCTGAGGGTGGTGGCTCAGGGTAGTTGGAGAGGCAATTAATGGAGCCCCTCAGGAAGGTGTCAAAGAGGGGCCAGAGCCTGCTCAGATGGACACGTAGGCAAAAGTGTCAGTTATAACACTTCCATTTGGGATACACTCAGAGACCCCACCATACTTCCCCAGCTATGTCAGCTGGGCTTTGACTCCCATGGGCCCCTTCATCTCATCCCTCTGCATCCCCCAGCCCACACCCCTGTAGCCACCTGGAGGGAAGGAGGGCTCCAAATCCCCAGATCAGGGCAAAAAGAAAGCTGCTGACAGCCAGCAAGTGCTCCCTCTGCTTATTCTGCACGTCTTCACTGTCAGTCTGGGACCGGTTGTTCAGAGAGCTGCTTTTTGAGGACTTGAAGCTCTGGGTCACAGGTTCACTACTGCTCCTCTGGTCCTCTGTAAAGGTCATCATATCCAGAATAGGAGCCCCATAGAAAAAAAGCAGGTGTGAGAGAGTAGAGGTTGGTATTACTTCTCCTCACCTTCAGTCCCTGGGCCCAGGTCCTCCAAAGAATTCATGTTCCAGGCTCCAGCTATATAACCCAGCTACCCTAAAGGCCCCATTTCTGCAACCCTCTCTCAAACCAGCCCTTCCCTCTCCCCACCTGGGCCGCGTGACTTCTCCTCCTCATCTAGGCGCAGGTAGGGGTCAAGCAGACCACGCAAGATGCAGGCCAGGCTGGTGATTTCAGCCACACCTGGGCAGACAGCCTGTTGCCCGTGTATCTGCAGCACAGAGCTGGTACCTTGGCAGGTGAGGAATCGGAGTGTGGCAGGCACCAGAACCTCAGCCAGATGATTGAGTTCAGTGACTGTCTGGGGCTGCAGGCGGTACTCATGGGGCAGGGCTGCCATCAAGACACTAAGCATACACTGCCAAGTCTGCTCCCCACCACACCAGACCAGGGCACAGCGGCCCACCACTGTGGGGGACATGCCTGTGGCATCTGCTACCTCCATCAAGAGAAAGGTGCCTGGGGGGCGTAGTATCTGCTGGCCATTGGGGAGGCTAAGCTTGGGGGGATTACTTAGGAGGTAGGTGATGGAGTCTAACCAAGCAGCACTGGGTGCCCCATCACATATGACCCAGTGCTGGATCCCTGCTGATTCTGGTACCTGTTCCCTTGAACCCATGAACTTACACTGGGTGGCTTCACGAAGCAGCCTGGGGAAGACACCGTGGTGCCAGCAGGACCCCTCTAGCCATCCCAGGAACTCTTTGGGGCAGAGAACACTAGGATACAGGTGGGTAATTTCCACAGGCTGGTAGCCCTGGGTTGAGGTATCCTCCCTGGCTGCCAGCTGGTTCTGGATCTTAAACAAGGAGTGCCAACAAGTGGTCTTGCCACTGCCTGCAGGGCCCAGGAGCAGAATACCTGAGGCCTGACTCAAGGCCTGCCTCAGCTGCTCCAGGGACCCCAAAATTTCAGGGCTAGGACTCAGTCCTACCTGCTGTAGTTCTTCCTCTATCAGTGGCTTTATTAGTCTGTCAGTCATAGGCTCTGCCAGCACTTGGGTGGCACTAGGGAAGAGCCCACACAGCAGCTCTCGGAGCTTGTGCAGGTGACGCTCATCAAGGATGTTGAACAGCTGTGAGCACAGCAGAGCATGCAGTAAGGAGGCCTCTTCAATGGCAGCTAGGCTGCGGGGATTCTGGGACTTGCGTTCCTCCTTGGTCATATTTAATCTCTTTATTGTGTCCTCCAGTACCTGCTTGAGCAATGGCAGGCGGCAGGGCAGGGGCCCAGACACAAGCTCACGCTCTAGGGAGAAGAATTTGGATAGGCGGGTAGCCATGCGAGAGGCATCCCGCATCCCTGCACCCAGCAAGGTCATCTCTGCCACATGGTACAGGTCAGGCAATGCCAATGCCACAGGCCGCAACAGCAGGCGCAAGTTGGCAGGCACAGCAGGGCTCAAGGTATGTAGTGTCAGGAGACAGCCATAGCCATAGCGCATGGACACGTGATGGTTTTCAAAGAAGCCAGTGCCAAGTTGCAGAGGATGGATGGGGTCGATGGTGCTGGTACTTTGGGAAGCCTCCTGGTATAGTGAGGCATAGAGGAGGTGTAGTTCAGCCAGGCGCTGGCTGAGGGCAGAGAGCAAGCCAGGGGGCAGGCGCTGAGCTGCCTTCAACATCAGCCAGGCACCACCCTGTAGAGCACCATTCAGGTAGTTGCTTAGGCTTCGGGCCTCTATCTGAGGCAAGCAGGGCAGTATCACCAGCTGGTAGCCCAAGGCCCGTGCCAGGTTAATCACCATAGTTGTCTTGCCCACACCATCAGGGCCCAGTAGGGTCCCACAGGCCACCTCATTCAAGGCCAATAACAGCACCAGGGCTGGCCGCTCAGGCAGCAGGATGGGTAGAGGATCTAGCCTGGGCCCCAAGTATTCATAATTGTACAGGAAGGATCGGCTCAGCACATCTATCCAGCAGGGAGCTGGTGGCAAAGAGGACTCAGTGGACGTAATAGTAGTCCTGAGACTCTGCAGGGGGCTTTTGGTCACTTGAGGTGAACCCAAGTGGTACTTGAGTTGGCGGGCCCAATGGAAGTCTCTCAGATCACTGACCTTGTGCTGCTGCAGCAGCTGTGCTATATCCCGATGGGTTACTGCCATGACCAAGAGGGCACTGAGCAGGCTGGCCTGATGGACAGAGGGCAGGGGATGCCCACCCTGGGAGCCTGTTGGGGCCCGCATAAAGTGTACTAGTACCTCCAGCTTATGCACTTGCACAGAGACCATGGCTTGAGTATTCCCCTCAAGCAGAGCCTCTTCCACCTCAGCCCGCCACACTACCTCCTCTGCCACCAGCACACACTGCCATGGGAAGGTCTCGGCTAAATCTAGCCAGTGGAAGATAGATTGGTTCAGGGCAAGCTCACTGTGTTGGGGCAGCTGTTTGAAGGTCTCATCTAAGGATGGGCCCTGAGTAAGGTGGGTGGCTACACAGTCCTGCAGCATGTGTACCAGAGCCACACGTAGAGACTTCTCCAGAGAGGCTAGCCACTTGGGGAGATCTGGATGCAGAGGAAGGGGACTCTGCAACTTCATCTCCTCACCACCTGCCCCTAGCACTGCAATTGCTTCCACCAGAGAATGTGTGCTTGGGCTCACCTCTCGGTCACCCATGTTCTTCTGCTCATCAGTTGTGTTGGATTTGAAACTCACGGTATGCACATGAGGAAAGCAACGTTGTGTCCATCTCTGGGCCTCACATGACTCCAGTGGGGCAGCCAGCAGGGCCACCAGCTCACTGTCACTAAGGAAGAAGAGGCGGGGGAAGTGAGAACGTACCCTGTAAAGCACACTCTCCAGAGCCATGATGAGGCTCTCCAACTCCTCCGAGCCTGCTTGGAGCAGTTGTTGCAGCTGTTGACCCTGGAAGTAAGGACTCCGCTTAGCAGTGGGCACTATAAGTGACAGGACCAGTGGGTCAGCTACGGAGATCCTCATCAGGGTCCGATACTGGTCATCCATGGCCTTGAAACGAGAGCTCTGTGGTGAGAGTGAGAATGGAATTGAGGACAGATCTGAAGTGGCAGCTCCCCACCTCCAACTCTGAGCCCCATTACTCAGTAGCCATTGCCCACATTGCCTCATCCCATCCCCTACCAAGTTGGAACTAGGAAACTGGATCTTCATCTCATGCAGAACTTTATTCAGAAAAATCCACTTCTGCTGGAAAGTCACCCACACCTCCAGGAGGGCACCTGTGTGAGCAGCCAGAGGAATATTGGTAGGAGATGCTATGGTTCTAGCTTTGGCAAGGAGTCCAGTCTGCTCTTGCTATGACCTCTTGGGTGGCCCACCAGCCCAGCAAAACTACTCTGGCTCAGCAGAAAGACTTGGTCCCCTCATTCTAAGAAGTAGTCTTGAGGGAGGCCCTCACTCTGTCTTTCAGATATTTCCCCACTCAACCTCTACTTCTCTACATCCCATCCCTCTAGTGCCATTCTGTCTCTGGTCTCACCCATCAACCCACCTAGAGGTCTGCACTTACCCAGGCTATGCATGATGGTCACCCATTCCAGGGCTATTTTGTGCAAGTCTCCTGACTTTTCCATGGCCAGGATTTTGAATAACATCTGAAGGCTCTCCTGGATGGAATCCTGCAGGCTGCTGTAGTCTGGGGAAGAGTGAGTTCCAGTTGAGCTAAGCTGAAGTCAGATGGGCAAGGACAGGTTTGTGGTGAAAAAAGGGAGTGAGTACTCAGGTGACCTGGGATTCCTTGTAGGGAAAGCAGTGACAGAGGGCTAGATGCCTTTCGGTCTTTGAGGATTGCACTGACCAATACAGTGAAGCCATCCCTGCTTTGGAGTAAAGCACTGACAACTACCCTAACACTGCCCCCCCCCCCCCGCAAATACACACACACATTCATGCACTATGGGAAGGCTTCAGGCCTGCTGATACAGTATTGGGCTGTATCTGGGTAAACCTACTTCCACAAAAGTTCTTCGAAAAACTTGAGCCTCTAGCCTAGGAAAAGGGCTCTAGGATTGCAAGTCCTTTATATCATTTTTTTTTTTCTGTAAAAAAAAGAATGTTTTTTTTTTTTTTTGCCCACCCCCTCTCCCCAAAGAAAGCCTATTCAGAGATTAAAGAGATCCTGGTAGAAAGGCTGAGAACAAAATCCTCTTCCACAGTCAGCATTTAGCCCCCTGGTGCTGCTCAAAGATTTATCTCATCATGCTATGGGAGACTGAGGCTAGAAATGAAGTAGGGGCCTAAATAGGGTGGAAATGAGAAGACAATAGAGACAGGAGATGTTTTCAGACAGGATTCTCCAAATACACCTACTGGGAAGAAAATGCTTAGTATCCTGCTCTCAGAGTGAAAGAACTCCTATACTTTCTAGAGAAAACAGAATTTCTCTGATTCCCTCTCTCTATCCCCTTTAATTACTTCTCCCCAGGTGTGGAAGCAAAAGGGCCTATCTCTTGTGCTCTAAGGAATGTGAGACTGGCTATAACTCTCCCTGCAGCTATCTGAGTAAGTGTACTTCAAGTTGCCTCTGCATACCCAAACACACTCCAAATTGTCAGTTGATTTTGGAAAGGTTGTAAAGAGGTAGTAGGAATCTCAGGTCTGGATCCAAGTTGTGTCTGTCAATACAGTACATCAAAAACACATGGTATCTTGGAAGTAATAACTCTGATACTCATAAATTTCAACCTAGTCTCTGGTACACCCACACATATTTGCTCCTACAAGTTGAATTGTATGGTCACCAAGAGTCAGAGTGTGTTTACAAGACTGCTATGTGGATTATGTTTTCATTTTAATTACATAATTATGTCTAGTATTATACTGATCACTGAAAAATGGATGGATAACAAAAGATTTACTGTTTCTATGGAAACAATGGAAGGTTTATGTAAAAGTTAATAAAAAACACAACCTCATTGTTGTTGAGTAGATTCCAGTTCCAACTCATAGCAACCTATGTTGTTGTTGTTTTTGCCATTGAGTGAGATCTGACTCATAGCGACCCCTCCTTGGGTTTCTGAGGCAGTATCACTAAGGGAGCTCTGGTAGCATAGTGCCAAGGCACTTGACTGCTAACCAGGAGGCTGGCGGTTCAAACCCACCAGCCACTCCTCGGAAGGAAGGTTGGGCAATCCTACTTCTGTAATGATAACTGCCTCGGAAACCCAAGGAGGGGTCGCTAGGAGTCGGGGGCCGACTCGATGGCAAATAACAACAACAACAACATCACTAAGGAAGTAGATTGCCAAACCTTCCTTCTGAGGAGTGGCTGGTGGGTTTGAACTGCCAGCCTTCTGATTAGTAGTCAAATGCGTTAGGCACTACACCACCAGAGCTCCCATAGCGACCTATGTTGTTGTTGTTATGTGCCATCGAGTCATCTCTGACTCATAGCGACCCCTCCTTGGGTTTCTGAGATGGTATCACTGTTGTTGTTGTTATGTGCTGTCGAGTCGGCCCCGACTAGATGAATGGGACCTTCTCAAAATTAAATTTTTATGTGCTTCCATAGACTTCTCCAAAAGAGTCAAAAGACAGCCTACAGATTGGGAAAAAATATTCGGCAATGACATATCTGACAAGGGACTTTTCTCTAGAATTTATAGAAAACTCCAACAGCTCACCAACAAAAAGACAAACAATCCAATTAAAAAATGGGTAGAAGACATGAATAGACACTTCACCAAAGAGGATATTCAGGCAGCCAACAAACACATGAAGAAATATTCATGATCATTAGCCATTAGAGAGATGCAAATCAAAACAACAATGAGATACCATCTTGCCCCAGCACTAGTAGCAAAGTTCAACAAGACAGAAAATAGCAAATGCTGGTGAGGATGTGGAGTGATTGAGACTCTCATACACTGCTGGTAGGACTGTAAAATGGTACAACCACTGTGGAAAGCAGTATGGTGATTCTTTAAAAAGTTGGAATTAGAAATACCGTTTGACCTAGCCATTCCATTACAAGGAATGAATGAATGAATGGAGCATAAAAACAGACAACAGGGTGCAATCTAGAGGACAGAGCATTGAAGGTGAAGAGAAATGACCATGAGGTATTTCTGAGTGTACCCTGAAAGGGAAGGACCTTTGTTGAAGGAGCCAAGGACTTGGAAGAGAAGAGTCCCAAGGATATTAAGACACTGTCAGAACAGTCAGATGTCTTAGGCTGGTGGATAAGGATGGGGCCCTGGCTAAGAAGCCAGATTTGGCAGTTATGGATATGGTAGATGAAAATGGCTCACAGCAGGGGGTTTTGCTGGGCCACCAGGGCTGGGTCTCACCTGAGAGGATGAAGGTGCCACTATCCTTGCTGACTACATCCCACTGTGGGCTGCGGAGAATCTGCCTCTTGGAGCCCTCTGAGGCTGGGGGCTCATAGGGCACACGTAAGATGAAGTTAAGCAGGCGCAGTTGGCGTTCTTCCCAGGACCGCTGCAGTCGCTGTAGTGTGTCTTGGGCATGGAGCCTTTCATTTTCGCACTGCCATACCTAGAACAGCTGGGTCTCAGGAACCAGGACTGGGTAATGGCTCAGGCGATATCCTTGGAGCTGAGACTTGGGCCTGGGACACAACTCAAGGGCTAGGGCTCTGAGGAGTGGAGGTCTTGGGGGTGAAGGAAGAATGGAACCATCTGACTTCAAAGATAGGCCATCAATGGCATCTTAACTGCTTTGATCTAGGGCTGCTGCTAAAGCCTTGAAGCCTACTCTCTTGCAAGGCTCCAGCTGAACAGACAATATCTCAATAATTTTGTGCTATTTTGGGACAGGGTAAGTGTTGGGAGGGGCATCTGTCATCCTGTGTGCTTACAACTTCTGAGCTGCCACCCACTGCTCTCCCCCAGGAGAGATAAGCTCTTGGTCACAGAGTCTGGAACCACACATCAGGTCCTCATCTGGAGACTTAAGGAGAACATTCATACCCTCCAGCCAGGTCAGTAATCTCATCCCCACCATTCACATGTCAATATCCACTGCCTTCTTCACTCAAGGGGCTGCTGGACTTTAACTGGCTCAATTAGAGTTTAACAAACAAGTCCCGGGCTTGGATCACCCCACCAGTTGCCCCACCTGGTTGATTCGATCCGAAAACTCCAGCAGTGGACAAGAGAGCAGCTGACCCAGTGTTAGGAGGTCCAGATTATTGAGACTTCCCAGCCCTAAAGCTGGGGGTAGAGGGGACAACATCAGAGTTCCATCCTGTATCTGGCAGAGGCCAGCCCATATCCCAGATCCTAGTCCTGTCTTCCCAGAGCCCAGATCTGGGACCCAGAGCCCAGCCCAACTACAGATCTCAGAGCACACCACAGAGCCAGCATACAGCCCAGAACCCAGAGTCCTGACCATACTTCAGTGCCTGAAGCTAAACCCCAGCTCAAAAGAAGAGAAGGCCCCATGAGATAGTGAGGGAGGTTAGAAATTTTTGTCTCTGGGAGGAAAGAGGTTTGGTACCTGGAGGAAGGCAGGGGGCAGCCTAGAGACAAGAGGTCTTTCCTTCAGGAGTAGCAATGAACTGAGTTGTGACAAAGTTCTAGACCCTACATCCTTCCCCATACCCCTCCCTCATGACTCTAACCAAACCCACTTCGTAGGAGGGCTTGGCAGTGGAGGCTTTGCAGCTGGAGGCTGCCCAGCTTGGTGAGCAATGGCAGGAAGCTGCGGAACTCCTCTAGCATGCGCATGCAGCGGTGCAGCACTGGGCTGTGCAGCCCCAGGGTTGTGCTCATCCGGGCTGCCTCTATCAGCCATTTGTCCGTCTTCTCCAAGGCCACAGTCAGGTTGAACTGTAGGGAAAGGGCTTCTCACTATGAGTCTCCCCCCACCTCCGTCCTTGCAGGCCCTCCACTCCCAGGCAGAAGCTCTGAGGAAGGGTGCCAGCACCTTGGCAAAAGCCATGCACTTCCACTCGCTGATATTTTCTGAGATGACTCGGTACAGGTGCCAGATGCATTGCTGCTGCACAATGGGACGGATCCCACAGGCCGGCAAGGGCACAGGACTCTTATCTCCTGTAAGATAGGTTGGCTGAGGCTTGGGGCGAGGTAGTGGAGCATGATGGGCATGGTCAGTTAAGAGCCCATAATGACAAAAGGGAGGGTCCACAAAGTAGGGGAAGAGGGTCTAAAATGTTCAGTGTAAAAATGGAGGTGGAGCCCATCTAAGGGGGCAGTTATTCCAAGGAAAGCGTATTTAGGAAATGTGAAGGCAATGAAAGGGAAGTGTTCCTCTTCTATTTATTACTTTCTCTCTTATTTCACTCTAGCTACATCAGACCCTTTGTTGTTGCTCACATACCTAGGCATGTTCCCTCTTGCTAAGGGAATTTGACTGGCAGTACATTCTTCCTGGAATACTTTCTTCAGAGAACTATATGACTCAAACTCTCACCAAAGTCAAGTCTTTTCTTAAATACCACCTTAATGAGGCCTACTCTGATCACATCATTAAAAAGTGCTGTCTACTCTCCCTGGCATTTGACCTTTCTTACCCTGCTCTGTTTGTTTCCCTACCATTTATTACTTTCTAACATACTACATAAATTAGTTATATTTTATGTTAATTATTTATTGTCTTTCTCTTCCCATTAGATGTTTGGTTCTTGAGTATAAGGATTTCTGTCATATGTTCATTGATATAATACCTCAAGTACCTAAAAGAGTGTCTGAAAAATATTAGACAATATATATCTGTTGAATGAATGAATGGTCTTAGCCCAGGGAGAGTTCAGTGAAATGCATACGAGTAAGAGTCCAGTCCACACAGAGGACCAGACGGAGCAAAGAGTGTAGCTCCCTATTGTGTTTACCTCTGGCAATAATTCCTCGTCTTCATCTCACAAGCTACTAAATTAGTTCTTAATCTTTGGTTTATGATCAGTTGTGAGATATTATAATTAATAGTAATTATAGTGCTGAGGTTTGCAGTTTACTCAAAAGAAATGTGACTAGATTGAAGCCTATCATTATAAGACTGTCATCCTCACTTGTTTGGATTCCGGTATGCTTTCTTGAATGGGAGGAAAACTTGCAAGTGCTGGGAATCATGACCAGGACACATGTGAACAGCATCCATCATCACTCTTAGAATATTAAAAGGCTGAAAGTCATTAGGCTATGAGATCTCTGATCTGACCAAATAAAACTACAGTGAATCTAACTCTTCCAGTTGCTCTTTGTCTGAACTCAAAAGATCTGGCTAGAGATCCATACAAGCTTTGATAGAAGATATCTCAGTATCAAATATTAGACAAGTAACTCCCTCTGTAAGAAACAGCCAGACTTGATAGCTCCAGACACATGAAAAAGATATGTACAAACTTGAGGATTAAAAGCTAATATCCTTTGATGGAATAGGAATATTGGAAAGGCTATTTGCATTCTCCACCAGACTGTGAGTCCCCTGTATCCTTACTCTAAGTATACCACCTGACATAGCCAATACATGAAAGATTTTATCCTGCAATTTTCATTTATAAAAGAGAATGAAGCTATGTAATTCCTGAGGCTTGCTTAGGGTCATACAGGGCACAAGACCCTGAGTCCCCACTGTATCTCAATAGAAGGTCTATCTCAGGGAGCTGGTGGAGGGGGTAGGGTGCACAGTACCGGTGAAGGTGGCATAGGTGTGGTGGAGTTCACTGAGTTGGTTGGCTGTGTTCTGGAACTGACGCTCCAGGGAGATGAGCTGGCGCTCAGTGCTCCTCTGCTCTTGTGCAGGGTCCATGAAGGGACCTGACAAAGCCTTCTTAAGCATGTCTTCTAGCTCGGCCAGTGATGCCACCATCAGCTGCTGCAGCTTGGGCACAATGGCATGCCGCTTGCTGAGCAGGAACTCTGAGGCCTGACTTTTCTCAAACTGAAATGCCTCCCACGTGTCCAGCAGCTATGAGACAAGCAGAGGGCAGTCAAGTAGATGTGGCTGTGGGGAGGAGAACTAGGTGGGATGGGTGACTCCCTGAATTGCCCTCTCACCGAGATATCCAGTGTCTCATTTTCAGCACTTAAGAGGCTAAAGTGGTTGCGGATGAGCTCATGAAGCGACCGTATGTATTCCACTCGATCCTCCAGTTGAGTGTACTGTTCATTGGCCTCATTCAGCTGCAAGGGCTACAGCATGAGATCGACATCCCCACACCCCCACCTATCTCCTGTTTGAGATGGGAGGAACTACCACCCCCTAGAGACTCCAGATCCTAACAGCAGCTTTATTTAGTTATTTATTAAAATTTTCATATGATTTGAGTAAAAGTTTAGAGAGCAAATTGGTTTTCCATTCAACTGTTCATACACATTGTTTCATGACATTGAATGCAATCCCCAAATGTAACAGCACTCTTCCCACTTGCTCTGTGTTTACCTTTTCCATTCCTCCTCCTTTGCTATCCTTCCTGCCTTCTGAGATTCCCTTTTGATCTCATATGGTTGATTCTTTTAGGTGTGCATATCTCCCTGGTGTTATTGTTCACCCATATGCCTGTAGGCCTAATGTTTGGCTGAAAGTTGAGTCATGGTGGTAGCGTGGGGATGAGCAGTAGTAGCCTTTTAACCAACTGGAATCAGGGGCAATCTGGCAAGTCTCTCTAAAGGCAGCACCAACCAGACCACAGAGAGCAGTGCTATGGCTCTAAAAGTAGGACTATGTATTTTTCATTACATCAGGGCTTCCCCTGACATGAGGAAACTGAGGGCCACAGGAACAGGGGGAGAATTAACAAGGACAGAACATTTAGGAGGGCACAGTTTAAGAGCCTCAAGCTCCAATGGAAGCTCAGGGAAGACCTGAAGAGAGTGTGCCGAGTATCTGAGGAGGATGGGCCCTAGATAACTGAAGCAAGCTGGATGGGGAGAGCTCACCTTCTGGGAGCACTGAGAAATGGCATGAATGTCAGAGTTGATGGTTTGGAAGACCTGCATGAAATCCATGAGCTCTGTCATTAGCTGCTGACTGCGTTTCCGGCACTCGTCCTGTACCTGTGTAAGAATGTCCTTCCGGATATTGTCCAGCTTGGATTCTGGAGACAGGAGAGGGTCAAGTGTTAGGGAATACATGAAAAGAAGGGATACTGGGAGAACATGTGGGATAGAGAGGGAGAGTGACACTCAGAAGGAAAGCAGACCATAAATTCACAGTGCTTACTGGAAGATTAGGAGCTCTGGCAGCCTAGTGCCGAAGGCGTTTGACTGCTAACCAGAAAGCTGGCAGTTCAAACCCTCCAGCCACTCCTCAGAAAGAAGATTGGGCAGGCAATTCTACTTCTGTAGAGATACCCACTGCTGCCGAGTTGGCTCCGACTCATAGAGTCCTCTCCTTGGGTTTCTGAGGGAGTATCCCTATGGAAGTAGATTGCCCAGGCTTCCTTCTGAGGAGTGGCTAGTAGGTGTGAACCTCCAGCCTTCTGGTTAGCAGTCAAGTGCCTTAGGCACTACACCACCTTGGAAACCCAAGGAGGGATCACTATGAGTCACAATCCACTTCATGGCAGTGAGTTTAGTTTTTACCGGACCCCTGCTCAGTTCCAGTCAGCTGCTATGCCCTGGGGCATGGGCTGTATACCAATAGACAAGAGTTAATGGGTGAGACAGAAAATGGCCCTGCCCTCAGAAGCTCACAATAGGATGGGAGAACTATTACTGAGACAGATGTATAAGCAATCACAAACTAGTGTGCTATATGCTCTCTGAGTGCCCGGGAGCCCTCAGCCTAGTGCAGTGAGGAGAGGCCTGAGAAAACTAGGAAAAGGCCTCCTCAGAAGGGCAACATGTACTAAGTACTTAATGCTTAAAGGGACAAGGGCATGCCAAGTAGATAAAGCAGCATGTGCAAAGACACTGAAATGACATGTTGATGAATAACAGAATGCCCTAACAGAAAGGGAAGATTTCAGTTTGGGGAGTCTTACTGTCTATGCTTTTGTAGAAGAGCTGCCAAGAAGGGGGTATAATATGCCTTTTGTTTTTAAGCATTAAAGAAACTGTCAGGTGGACATGAAACTAGAAGATAATCCTTGAAACTGGTCTTGATGATATGTACAGAGCCATTCTCTTTAGAGGTCAGGAAGAGTATCAACATGATACTCCATCAAATCTAAGATACCTCTAATTATAAGAAGCACTATTATTTTATATGCAACTAAAAAAGAAAAAATGGCATGACCTTTGGAGTTCAGAGATGTTAATGTAAGTGTAGAACAATGAAACACAATATAGAAATACAGTATTATATGCCACAAAATACAATATAGAGTTCTTACCACATGCCAAGCACTACTTCAAGTACTTTAAGTATTCTCTCATTTAATCCTCACAAAACCACTTTGAGGTTGATACTATTGTCCCTATCTTTATAGGTCAGAAAGCTGAGACTCAGAGAGATTAAGTAAGTTGATCAACATCACACAGCTAATATGTGGCAGAGAAAGGATTCAAACTCAGGCAGCCTGGTGCCACTCGCTCATATTTACTGCTTGGAGGTATGAAAAGTAAATCAGCCTATGCCCCATGGGCATCTCTGCAACTAGAAAGTGGGAGAGTGAGTTCCAGAGGCAGGTAATTGAGACACCCTACCCTAGAGACATAATTGAGACACTTTTGGAGCCTTGAAGGACATGCCCAAGATGACTGAGCTCTAAGAATTGAGACTGAGAAGGCCCAGGGAGAGGAAAACTACCGAGGGGCACCTTCAGTTGAACAGAACATTTAGGATGTGAACTCATCCTTTTTCAAAATAAGCTTCTGGTCTATGACAGTAGCCAGGCCAGGGCAATGCTGCTACTTTTGGCTTTTGGCAGCATCAGGCAGGTGAAGGCAGACAGGAACTCAACAGCGACACTGCATGGTATCAAGTAGCAATGGCAATAGATTCATTAAAGACCAGGGCTCCTTAGGCTTGGAAGTTGGAGATGGATGCGCAAACAGAGTTGAGAGGTATTCAGGAGGCAGAAGAATGGAAGGGACTGGCAATAGGTTGAAAGTGGTGAGGTTAGGAAGAGGGAAGAGTAAAGGGTGACTCCAAGCTTCTGGTGAAACCAACGGACCAGAGGATAATTATGTCATTCACTGTTGAAGGGAGGCAGGAAAAAGAAGAACAGAGCTGAGGATAAGAAGATAAAATTAGATCAGTGAGAAAGATGAGAGAAGATGGAAGGAGGTGAGGTTAAATTAAAAAATTATTAAGTGCCTACTGCATGCCAGATTCAATGCTAGTATGACAAATGATATCTCCTCACTATAACCCTATGAGCTGAGTATTATTATGCTTATGTTCCAAATTAAAAAAAGTGAAGTTCAGTGATCTGCAGTCACAATGCAGGTGATAAACAGTCAGGATTCCAAACTCTGTGCTTTTCTCTCTCCATCTGTTCCTCTTAAAGAGGCTGATCCTAAGGAGCAAGCAACTAACAAACTAGAAAGAAAGCATAGACTTCCAGGGCAGCAGTGGAGCAAAGCCTGCCCAGAACAGGGCCAGAAAGAAAGCAGACCAATCGCAGATCCTGTGTGTTCCTGCCTTGCCAGCCTGGACCCCCTGTACATATGGGAGGGGAGAGAGGAAGGGAGAAAGAGCAGGCAGTTTTATGGCCCATAAAATAGCTAATGAGGCATGTGCTTTCATCTGTTGAGCAAAGGCAGGGGCAGGCAGGCACTTCCTAGCAAACTCTTTTCAGGCACCAGCTCCAAGGCCTGCTACGTTCAGCAAGTTCTAAGAGGCAGTGGGTCCAGCAGTATCTAGTCTCTGTAGGAAGAGGACACTATTGGTACTGTGAGCCATAGCGTCTGCTTCCGATAGTTATAGTTAGTGAGGAAACAGAACAACCTCTCTATTTTCTACAAGAACAAATCACTGGCTTCCAAGTCTACTCCACTATAACCCTTTCCAAGTCCAGCTCCTAGGCTAAGGTACTTAGCTAATACACAACAGCATGAGAAGGCAGAAAAAGAAAAGAAGGAACAGAACTAGACCTTGATCCAGATTTCTCTGAAACCCTTGAAGGCCAGTACGGGTCAGTAGTGGCAAGAAGAGATGACCCTTGTCATGTGCCCTTATGCAACATGAGATAGTCACAATAGAGTAGAAATCATGGTGTGATTTGTCAAAGAGGGACAAAGATAATGTTTCCAAGTTACCCACAGTTCCCAAATGGCAGAGAATATAGAAGCTAGCCAAGAATGGACAGCCAGAGGGCTCAGATAGGGTTCCTGTGTCGAGGGGTGAAGGATCCTGAAGCAGAAGCTGTGGGGTAGTCAGCCTAAGACAAACTGGGTAAAGGATCCACTAAAGCTCCCAGGATCTGCAGTGGCAGAGGAGCCAAGGTGGGGTCAAGTTAGCAAAGGAAAACACTCGGGACCCTTCCTAGGTCAAGAGAATACAAGCCATCCCAGGATACATCAATACTTCAATACCAGAAGCAGTAATGGCAGGAAAGCAAGGACCAGGCAAGGACCCATGACATCTCAATGAGGATCACAGGAGCTAACAAAGAAACACACACAGCCCAGGGTACCTCCCTCAGTGCCAGATGCCATCTTAGGAAGGAAAAGGAGCAGAGAACACTTGAGGGAAAAAACACCCAGAAGTGCAGTGTGAGTATTGCATTGACGGATACTCAAGATAGACTGAATGAGACCAAAAGTGTCTCCTTTAAATGAAAAGTGTTCTCTTTAATTGGGGTGGTTATGTTTTTCCTTTACAGAAAGTTAGGACTATAGAGCAAGACAAGATTAGTTAAATAGGATCTCAACTTTTTACACATCCAAATTGTAGTGTAAAGTTTGACTCTGGTACATGTGGAGAGTGCAGCACGCTAGATTCCAAAGAATCTCTGTGCAGAAACTGAGTTCAATAGCCCAAGGAACAAGCTAAGACTGTTTTCAGTCAAATTTGGTTTAAACTACTTCCATACCATGAGACAGAGAGTGTCATGTAGCAGGAACGTGATTCCTGAGCAGTACAGAGAATGAGCAGAGACAAGACAAAGATGGGCTGTAGTGACCACGTAGATTTTTGATTTTAAAGGAAAGGGGCTGGGACTTGGAGCTCTGAGAGGTTCTGTGGGTCCAATGAGGGTCCTTCACCAAAGGTCCTTGAAGGACATTTCAGGCCCAAGGAGGGCCATGTGAACAGAGGTAAGGGAGGAAGGAAGGAAAGCAAGCAGGACAAGCAACACTCACCCAGCTCTGCCTGTACCTCACAGCAGTTCAGCAGCAGCAACTTGCCTTTTGTACACAACTCAGTAGGCACAGTGGAGACACGGGCCTGCCAAACGTTCAAGCGGCTCACCAGTGTCATGTAGTCCTTGATGGGGCAGCCTCTCATGGTCTCCAGTTGCTGAGGCCCCCAGGCTTGCAGGAATTCATAAATGCCTGTTATCCAGTGATATTCCTTGCAGAATTCCTGTACCTCCAACAGCATGCCCTAGGAGCAGAAATGAGCTTAGGACAGAGGTGGGTGGCTATCGTGGGAATCGATAGGTCTCATTCTCAAACCTCTGTTCTCACCTCCATTAGCGCCTGTTGCATAGTCATTGCCTGCTGGATTTGAGGGTTATTGTCAAGGTCCTCCTGCAGCTGCTTGTAACTGGAGGGCAAGTACTGGCCCCGCAGGCGGTACCCACGGACTTCCAGGGTTCCAGCATTTGAGAGAGTCTTCCAGGGCCACACCAATCCAATGTCTTGGCCACAGAAGATGCGCACAGCATTGGTGGGCTGGCCCTGGAACTTGGGCATCAAGAATTCTGTGTTCAAGTCGTCCTCTTCGTCTTCTGCTAGTGGAGCACACCCTATAATTATTCATGAGTACCCTCCAGAGCCCACACATAACATCCTTCTTCACCCAAAGTATGTAAGTTCTTAACAGACACACACACACACTCCATGCTCACAAGTGACTCTACCTGTACATCTATATCACACATACAGAGCACCAGACCCATTGAGGGAATTTAATAGTTAGGGTTCGGGTGCAGAGAACAGAATTCACTCTAGCTAGTATAAGCAGGAAGGGAACCACTACAGAATATTTAATGGGTTACAGAATAATTGAGAGAGCTGAAAAAAATAATCAGAAGCTCTCTACCTGGCAAATTGGGACATCACTGCCACAATGCCAGCTATAACAACACACGGCTATGATCTGCACCAGCAAAATAGATAGCATATGCCCTGCCTCTTGCCCCCACTTAACTCAATTCTGAACTAAAGTTTCTGCATATCTAATTGTTGTTGTTGTTGTTGCATATCTAATTGGTGGGTTCTAAATCATGTCACCTGCTGCAAAGGGATCTGGGAAATGTAGTCTGTAGCATCCCACCTTCTTCAGAACAGAAATGCACACCAGGAAGCTGGAAATGATGCTGAGCATGCCAGCTCTCAGTCGCTGCCTTAAGGAAGAGCCTTGAACATGGCTTCCCCCTTAACTTAAGTTAAGGAACTGGCTATATGCCAATTTCCGTATTTGTGTAAAAACTTTGTACAAAAAGGGGAAAAACACCAAAATATTCAGAAATTAGAGCCATACTACCAGCACCTATCCATAGTGATACCGCCTCGGAAACCCAAGGAGGGGTCGCTATGAGTTGGGGCTGACTCGACAGCACATAACAACAACAACAACCAGCACCTAAACAAGGCTCAGTCCTCAGATCTTTTCTCTTCTCCATCAGCACTCACTTGCTAGGAGACCTCTTCCTGTTTCATGGCTTTAAATACCATCCAGGAGCTCTGGTGGCATAGTGCCTAAGGCATTTGACTGCTAAGCTGAAGGCTGGTGGTTAAAACCCACCAGCCACTCCTCGGAAGGAAGATTGTGTGATCTACTTCCTCAGTGATACCGTCTTGGAAACCCAAAGAGGGGTTGCTATGAGTCGGATCCAACTTGACGGCAGTGAGGTTTTTTTTTTTTTTTGGTTTATTTGCTTCCAGATTTGTCTCTAGTCCAGATCTTTCCCTGAATTTCATTCCCTTCTAAGCAACTGTCTATTACACATCTCCACTTGGATATCTAATATGCAGCTCCAACTTAACAGGTCCAAAACTGAGCTCCTGATTTCTCCCCACAAATATTGCTCCTCCTACAATCTACTAATTTTAGTAAATAGGAGCTCAGTTCTCCCAGATGCTCAAGTAAAAAACTTTAGTCTTCTCTGACTGTTCTCACATATAACACTCCTATCCAGCCAGCATCAAATCCTGTTGGTTCTACATTCAAATTATACCCAGAATCCAACCAGTTCTCACCACCTCCAATACTGCCCCCACTCCAGCCCAAGTCCCCATCATCTCTCACTGCATTATTGTAAAACCCTCCTTAATTGTCTCCATTCTTTGGCCCTCTGGTGGTATAGTGCCTAAGGCATTTGACTGCTAACCAGAAGGCTGGCAGTTCAAACCCACCAGCCACTCCTTTGAAAGATTGGGCAATCTACTTCCATAGTGATACCACCTCAGAAACCCAAGGAGGGGTTACTGTGAGTCGGATCCAACTTGACGGCAATGAGTTTGGTTTGTTTGGTTTTCTTTGGCCCTTGCCTCCCATATCAAATAGTCTTTCCTCCACTTAAGAGTCATTTAAGTCATTTAATATAATGCCAGAAGGGGTTCTGGGAAGATGGTGGTAGTGGCACCATAGCTTTGAAATCTCCCAAATCCCCACATAAAAATGGCAGTGCAATTAGATAGCAAAACCAGAAACATATGAATAACATTTTCAACAAAATGAGGACAAGGGATCCTTACAAATCCTAAAATACAAGCCCCCAAAATAACCAAACTCATTGCCGTCGAGTCAATTTCAACTCATAGTGACTCCTTCTTGGGTTTCCAAGGCAATATCTTTTCAGAAATAGATTGCCCAATCTTCCTTCTGAGGAGTGGCAGATGGGTTTGAACCACCAGCTTTCTGGTTAGCAGTCAAATGACTTAGGCACTTTGCCACCAGAGGTGCCAAAATACAAGTAGTTGGGTACAAGATATCTACATCCTCAAGCTCTACATCATATCAGCATTTGTAAGGAAGAAATCAGAAGGAAACAATGAGTCACCTGATAGAGAATAGGAAACTCAGAGTCAGCAGGCCAATTTGAGAACAACAGGTAAAACTGGAAGGGATTTTGCCCACTCCAGTAGTAGGGGTGGTAAGATCTTGTAGTGGGTTGAATTTCCTCCCTCATAAAAAGATATGTTCAAGTTCTAATCCCTGGTACCTGTTAATTCGACTTTATTCGGTCTTTGTAGATGTAATGAAGTAAAAATGAAGTCACGCCGTGTTAGGGTGAAGGAGCTCTGGTGGCGCAGTGCCTAAGGCATTTGACTGCTAGCCAGAATTTTCGCAGTTGGAAGGAAGATGGGGAAATCTGCTTACGTCAAGATTTACTGCCTCGGAAACCCAACGTAGGTCCCTATGAATCAGAATCCACTCGATGGCAGTGGATTTGGTTTGGTTTGTTTTTGTGTTAGGGTGAGTCCTAAATCCTATGACTGGTATCTTTACAAAAAAAAAAGAGAGAGTGAGAGAGTACACACAGACACATAGCACACAGAGGGAAAAAGGCTATGGGAAGACAGAACCTGAGACTGGAGTGATGTAGCTACAAGCTAAGGAATGCAAGGATTGCTAGAAGCCACCAGAGCTAGGATGAGGCAACAAAGGAGAGAGTTTGGCTTTGCCAACACCTAGATTTCGGGCTCCAGAACTGTGATAGAACAAATTTCTGTTTTAGCCATCTAGTATGTGGTATTTTGTTATAATAGTCCTTAAAATGAATATAGGTTGGTAGGGACAGAAGCAGTCTGTGAGCTCTTAAAACAAACCAGCCAGGCTTCTGTCTCAGCACTAAGGGCTCAGCACTAAGGAGAAGCTTCTGGGACTAGAATAAAAAATGAGCGGAAAAGAAGCAATAGCGAAAAAGAAGAGAAAAGGTCCTGATAAAGTGAGGGAGAGAAATGGAAAGCAGAAAGTCTCAGAAAGTTAGCCACTATCTTTAGAATACCACAGAAAAACAAGAGAAAAGGCAACTGAGACACTAGAAAACTATTCTCAACCAAGCTTCCTTCTAAAAGTTCAGGGAAATGAACTTTTCTAAAATAAGCAATGAAAAGTGTCAACATCAAACCCCACACATATTATAAGAAAAGAAAAAGGACTAGAAATAACATCTCCAGAGACAAAGAAAGTATTCAAGAAATAGATCAGAACTATATGCCATCACTTCAAACAAGCTAAAAAAAAAACATTGTTGTTGTTGTTATGTGCTATCGAGTCGGCCCCGACTCATAGCGACCCCTCCTTGGGTTTCTGAGGCAGTATCATTACAGAAGTAGGATTGCCCAACCTTCCTTCTGAGGAGTGGCTGGTGGGTTTGAACCACCAGCCTTCTGGTTAGCAGTCAAGTGCCTTAGGCACTATGCTACCAGAGATCCTAAAAAAAAAAAAAAAAAAAATTAGGAAAATTATTTGTCATGAAAGAGCAACACCTATCAGAATTAGAAAAGCTCAGAAATTATGTGACAGACTCAGGAAAGAATTAGAAATAAAAGAGAAAAAAAATCAGGATGAAAACTTTAAAAAGGAACATAAGATACATATATATTTATTAAAATTTTTTTAAAAAGGGATGCATAACTAATTCACAGACTCACTTCATCTAACTGCTCACAATGAAAAACATCATTTCAAAAGTTAGATGGTGCAGAAGCTTCTAACCACCAGCAGAGGGCAGATTTGCCTCTGTGTTAAAATGAGCTGCCTCTCATTGTATTACATTATATGTAAAATGCAGATAAACCATTATTGCTTCATACAAAAAAAAAAAAAAAACAGAACAGCAAATAAGCACAACATATAATGCCTTAAGAAAAACAGAAGGTGAAAGGAAGGATAATTATAAAAGTAAAAAAAGAAACATTTTTTAAAAAAGGTTTTAGTAGAAGAAATCAAATAGAGATAAGTAATCAGGATCCAATGAACAGACAACAGGGGTCCCTGAAGAAAAAAGCCAAAGCCAGGGAAGAGAACAAATACTACAATCTTTAATTCAAAAAGTCAATTTAATTCAAGAACACTTTCCTGAAATATAAAATATTTAAAACAACATTTTGAAAGAACATACCTCAAGTATATTCCTGGGAATTCTACCCCAAAATGTTTAATACCAAGATATAGTCTAGTAAAATGAATAGAGTTCATGGGGGGAAAAAACCAAAAACAACTTCAGGTATCTAGGCAAAAAGAACAAAAGATGTATAAGGGAAAGAATTAAATTCTTATCAGACTTTTAATAAAAATGTTTAATGCTAGAAAAAATGGAATAACATATTTAAGATATGCAAGGGAAAAAACTGTGAGACAATGATTTTATACCCAGCAATATTGACATTCAAAAGGCACAGTTATCAACATACACAAACTTGAAGATTTTATTCCCACAAGTCTTTCTGAGAAATCTAATAGAGAATGAGCTTTAGACAAACAAAATCACTAGAGGGATATTAACATAAGGACTGCTGGTGAGCATTAAATATAAGATTAAGTGAGGGTTAGAAGAGAGGGAGTATAGTATGAAATGACGGTGTAGAGTGCTGGTGATTATCTTACTTGCCAGATGGAGACAGCCTGTCTGAAGAAAGGAACCCTGGAAGGTATATTGGTTGATTACCCCAGAGCCATCATCTCCCTCTCCCTTCTTCAGTGTTGGCAGATCCCATCATCCATTAGAAACTGAAGATATCAGTCACTTGATTTCTCAACCTTTCTTGCAGCTAGAGGTAGTCACACGACCTGGAGTTTACCAGTGGATGTAAAAGTGAGTGTGCTGGGGAGTGTCTAGAAAAGATTACCTTTCCTGATAAAAAGTGAGAGTCAGGGAAGAAGAGTTCTGTTACCAACCTTACCTCCCCTTCTTCCCTTGATTTTGCTTGGGAATGGTGCTATAGCTTGTCGTGCAACTATGAGGCAATAAGGCTGAGGATGAAAAACTACTTGATTGCAGCCTCCCCAACACACACTCACTTCTGAAAGGATCTTCTCTTATCTATAGCTAAAAGGAGGCAGAAGTGAGGGAAGGATATAAACCTGGCACTCGATGATATTTTTGAGCCTCTGAACTAACTCTGGAACCATTTATCTATAGACTTCTCATTATGTGAAATTTTTTTATTGTTTGGGCCACTATTATTATTGTTGTTGTTAGGCCACTATTATAATTATTATTATGTCACTATTATTGTTAGGTCTTGTTATCTCCAGCTGAAATCATTCTCAGTGATTCAAAATTCAGACAGCCAAGCAAAGTCAAGAGACTAAGAGAGAAAAATAAAGCTCTGATGACCTTGCTTGAGCCTTGAATCCAGCTGATCCTGAATCCAGTTGCATCTATGCATTTTCTAGTTATGTAAGCCAATAAATTGCCCTTTTTGCTTACCTAGTTTGAGTTAGGATTATGTAACCCCAAACTGACTTGCATATTCAGGCCCATATAATATATGTTTATTGCCAAGTACAGGCATTACTGAACATTACAGCCTCCTTAACCATACACTTCCTTCTAAAAGGATCTGCCCTTGCTTCTACCTAAGGAACTCTGGTGGGGCAGTGGTTAAAGATATCAGACTGCTAACCAAAGTTTGGTGATTTGAACCCACCAGCTGCTCTGCAGGAGTAAGATGAGGTAGTCTGCTTCTTTAAAGACTTATAGCCTTGGAAACCCTATGGGGAAGTTTTACTTTGTCCTGTAGTGTTACTATGAGTAGGAAGAGACTCAATAGCAGTAGGATTGGGTTTGGTTTTGCCTCTAAAACTAGATAATTTACGTTGTGATCCATTCCCCATGCCGTAACTTTTGGATATATGATTCAGATCTATAGGATAGGCTGAATCAGATTCCTTGTCTTGAGAATTTGAACTAAGTCAGTCACATGTACAGGAAATTTAACTGAAAGGTCATAGAGAGTCTGGACAATGAATAATGAAGACCAAAGAATAGTTGATGCTTTTGAGTTGTGGTATTGGTGAAGAATGCTGAAAGTATCGTGGACTGCTCAAAGAACTAACAAATCTGTCCTGGAAGAAGTGCAGCCAGAATTCTTCCTGGACATGAGAATGGCCAGGCTTCGACTCACCTACTTTGGTCATGTTGCCAGAAGGGACCATTCTCTGGAGAAGGATGTCATGCTTGGTAAAGTGGAGGGTCAGCAAAAGAGGGGAAGGCCCTCAACAAGATAGAATGACATGGTGGCTGCAGCAATGGGCTCATGTGTAGTAGGATCATGAGGCTGGCACAGGACTAGGCAGTGTTTTGTTCTGTTGTACATAAGGTTGTTATGAGTTGGAGATAACTTGATGGCACATAACAAAAATAATGTGTTGTTTTTTTAAAAAAGAGGAAGGGGCAAACAAAGACACTACAAAATAATATTTTCACTTTGACTATAATTTAGAATGAAAGTTCAAAGATTTTTTTATCCATTCAAAGCAACATACTGCAAAATAAGTATCTGTGGTACAAATGAATATGTTGTTGTTGTTATTGTTATGTGCCGTCGAGTCGGCCCCGACTCATAGCGACCCCTCCTTGGGTTTCCGAGGCAGTATCACTATGGAAGTAGGATTGCCCAACCTTCCTTCTGAGGAGTGGCTGGTGGGTTTGAACCGCCAGCCTTCTGGTTAGCAGTCAAGTGCTTTAGCCACTATGCTACCAGAGCTCCTACAAATGAATATAGAACATAAAAAATACTGTGGAATGCCCGATTTAACCAAGTGTTTAATAATAATAGTAAGATACTATCTGTAGTGTATGTATTATGTGCTGAGCCTCATACTAGACATATCTCCTCCTTTACTCTTCAAACAATCCTGCAAGCTATGTATTTTGTTATTCCCACTTTGCAGATCAGGAAGCTGAATTCAGATAGCATGAATTCAGAGTTGTTCTTCTTTCCACTGTACCATATCGAGCAAATATCAATAGTCTCCATCAACCTAGATTCATTTTGGGGGAAAATTATCCCCCAAATGGTGTGATTTGTAAAATGGCTCCTTTCAATGGCTCTTTTCCCTCTTTTGTCACCTACTTCCTAAAATGAACATTGAGTCATTAAATCATCTTACGGAAAACATACTGGGTGCATGGGAAAAGGAAAAGGCATCTACATGTCAGATGTGACTGAATATATTAAGTGATTTTATTTTGACAGTGTTAATATTCCAATTTTCTTTTTTTTTAAATGCAGAGATGTATTTTCTCCCTGATGGTTAACAAATTTGAAGAGTGATAACCAATGCTAGCTGCTAATTCTAAAATCACTCAATTTTTTCTGTTCTGGTTACCTAGTGCCACTCTGACAAGAATATACCACAAATGGGATGGCCTTAACAAACAGGAGTTTATTCTTATAATTTGGAGGCTTTAAGTCCAAGTTCAAAGTGCCAGGCTCTAGGGGCTGGGTGAAAGCCCCTCAACCTTGGGGTCCAGCTCTGGGGTCTAGCCCACTGGAGCTAGAGGTGTCTCTTCACTTAGACAGCTGCTAGCTGCTAAGGCTGACAAACCCAAGGTTGACAAGTAAAAAGGCACAGTCCCGATGTAACCAAACCACATGGCAGGCCATTAATTTAAGTCCATTGTAAGTCCCAAGGTCACCAGAGCATGGCAGGCTGCTGAACAACGACACGGCTACATGCAGGGTCCAAGTGTGCCATAAACTAGAGACATGCCAAAGCTGCTTCTTATATACAGGAAGCAGACCACATCCCAAAGGCAGCTATTCAGTTGCTTGTGGCAGATCCCACCATGGAGCTGATTGCCAGTGTCATCATGGGAAATTACTACCACCAGCTGCCCAGCCACTCAACCAGACCCAGCCTCGTTGACACACAAACATAACCACCACAAATACTAATGAATTACTCTGCATGGAATGAAAGAGTTGTAGGAAAGAAAGCAAATACTAAGCAAGCAAAGTTCTTCAAATAAGTACAAATTAACCTAGCAATCAAATTCAACAGTAGATGTATTACATGTATTACAGAATAGATTGCTCAGAGTTTGGGTAAATAGGGGAAGGAGGGAAGGACAACATACTCACACACTTTCATACACCTCTCTTTCCACTCAGGTGCATGCACACATATACATATAAGCACATACATGAGTGAGCAAAAACAGTCCCATCTCCTGACTCCTATAACACGACTGTGCTGTACCCAGATTAGAGCTGCTCTATCCACACCCAAGGCCTGATTTCCGGACTGAAGAGCCTGGCCCTCCACCTTCTTCCCATGCCATTAGCACTCTATACTTTCCATGTGCCCTCCCCCCTCCTTCCAGCCTATTTTCTGCCTAGGTTTCCTTAAATACCTTGGGAATACAGGGAATCCCAGGAAATCTGGAGGTCTGCAGTTTGCATCACCTTTATGTGAGATATGGAGAAGAGACAGAAGTAGAAAATAGTAAGTGAGTCAGGCCAGGTTGAGGGCTCTGATTACAGAGAATAGGAACTGGGGGAATTCCTAGTCAGTCCCCTGCCTTGTCAGAATACCTGCAGGACAGAGGTCTTGACAGACTGTAGGCCCCCAGTTAGAATTTGGATCATCTTTTCAATAGAGGGCACATGAGACAGCTGACCTTGATTGTCAAAGACCAGCTGTGCTGTGAGAAAGGGTTTCTGCCTTGGGGTCTGTAAAAGAATCAGGAGAGGTCATGGGGCAAGCATGTAGCCTGTGACTGCCTGCCCACCTCCACACATGCCACCCACCACCTCACTTGCAGAATGTGGGTCACAAAAGAGGTTATCTCCTCCTCCACGATGGATACAAGGCTCTGGCAAATCATGTAGTCTACCAGGCGGGCAAGCGGTCCCAGCTGCAGCATCCAGGCCTCCGCCTGCTTCAGCCTCTGCTCCAGCTCCTGGCACTGCACCCGCTGAAGGTATATGGAGCATTTCTCTCTTCTGATCTTCTTGCAACTTTGCACTCGTTCCTGCAGGCCCTGCTGCATGTGGTACGTGTCCTCGTGAACCTGCCAGTGTAGGGTGGAAGACTCACTGGGGGTAGGGGTGGAGAACAAACTGACCACCTACTGGTCTGAGCAAACTCTCAGGTCTTACAGTCTGGAATCTAAAATCTAGATGTACACATGAAGGGTGGCTTTTTAGTACAGATTAACCCCAGAAACCTCAAAATGACCAGAGAAGATGCGAAATGGAGAACATATATTGAGAACCTATAATGTGGTGGAGTCCCTAGGTAGTACAAACAGTAAAGGACTCTGCTGCTAACCAAAAGGTTGGAGGTTCAAGTCCACCCAGAAGTGCCTCAAAATACCAGAAAGCCTGGTAGTTTACTTCTGAAAAATGAGCCACTGAAAACTCTATGGAGCATACTTCGACTCTGACCCACATAGGTTTGCCATGAGTCAGAGTTGACTTAATAGCAACTGTTTTTCTGGTTTATAATGTATGCTAAGGTTATAGGTGATGGTCAGGCCTATCTACTGAAAGTCCCTGGGACTGGTGCACATGTGTACATAGAGAATTTCACAACATATGGCATAAGCAAAGAAAAAGAAAGATTGGATAAGTAAGGTTCAGAAATAATTCCAGGGTATGTACTCTGTAGTCATTAGGCCTGGGTGATGTGGCCTTCTGAATAGCACAATATTGCCTTATGTTAGAAGACATAAAATACCAGATGTCAAGATGACAAGCCTTATTATAAAGCTGCAAATATTAAGACAGTATGACACTGATAAAAAGACAGACAAATAGACTAGATGTTCAGAAACAGATCCACACTTATATAGCCATCTGATTTATGACAAAGGCACAACTTATAGTTACTTACATCAGATGTGAGAAAGGACAATAAATGTCCTTTTCAATAAATGGAAAAAAAAAAATAAACCTTGACTATTACCTCACACCATATATGAAAATTAATTTTAAATAGATCATAGACCTAAATGTGAATGATAAAATAATAAAACTTCTAGAAGAAAACACAGAATATTGACATGATCTTGGGGCAGGCAAAGATTTCTTAAACCAGGACTCAAGAAGCACCAAGTAAAAAGATTGATAAACTGAACTTCATGAAAATAAAGAAATTCTGTTCATCAAAAGACACCATTAAAATATGAAAAAATTCCTATCCAGAATAGGAAAAAAATATCTATAATACATGTATGTGACATAGAACTCATATCTAGAATGTATAAAGAACTCCCAAGTTAATAAGGATAAAAATTAGCAGGCCAATTAAAAATGAGAATCTAGTAAGCCAGTTAAAAACGAGAAAGAGTCTTGGTATAAAAATGGGCAATAAACATATGAAAAGATGCTCAACATCACTGGTCATCAGAGAAAGGTAAATTAAAACCATGATGAGGTACCACAATAAAATATCACTGAACATCCACCAGTTTGGCTAAAATTAAAAACCCTGACAACACCAAGTATTGATGAGAATGTAGGGTTTGTTGTTGTTGTTATGTGCTGTCGACTCGGACCTGACTCATAGCGACTCCTCCTTGGGTTTCCGAGGCAGTATCACTACGGAAGTAGATTGCCCCATCTTCCTTCCCAGGAGTGGCTGGTGGGTTTGAACCATCAGCCTTCTGGTGAGCAGTCAAGTGCCTTAGGCACTATGCTACCAGAGCTCCCATGTAGGGTTTAGTGCAGTGAATTGCTTGGTGTGGCTCATCTAGCCATGGTCTTGGAGACTCCCAGTGGATTACTAGGCGGAACTACGCAAATATAACATGTTTGTGGCCCACCAAGGGGATTGGATACTTTGTTAGTAATGTAAATAAGGTACATGCCACCTTTGTTGGGGGTGGGACCATGCAAATAAGGTATATGAAACAGTAATGTGCAGTCTGGTTGGTTTCATCATTCTGCTAGGCTTGAAATGAGCTCTCCTAGTGGCAGAAGGGGGGATATCTCACTGCTGTCAAGAAAGAAAAGCTGAAGGTAGAGTGGAGTGTGTCCTTGGACCTGAGATCCCTGCACTGGATCTCGTTGGCAGAGAGGTGGCAGAGACAACTAACTGGCTGAGATGACTGGCTGAGACAATGATGTCAGTGGAGCCAAGAAGCACAAGACAGAGTGGTGGGCTTGCTGGCCCATGGAGCAGGAAAGTTAAGTGCTTTTGGGAGGTTTGCTGCCAGAGTGGGGTACACCTAGCTGCACCTATTGCCAGAGCTAAAAGAGCTTTGTAACACTTGCCTGAGAGGGCCAAGAGGCCAAGGGCCAGAGAAGCATGCCTGAAGGCATGGCTGAAGAAGACTGTCCTGATAGAGCAATAGTATCCTGAGTGTGTTCCTGAAACTGAATTGTAACCTGTTAGTTCACCATACTTATTCAATCTGTATGCTGAGCAAATAATCTGAGAAGCTGGACTATATGAAGAAGAACATGGCATTAGAATTAGAGGAAGACTCATTAACAACCTGCAATATGCTGACGACATAACCTTGCTTTCTGAAAACGAAGATGACTTGAAGCAGTTACTGATGAAGATTAAAGACTACAGTCTGCACTATGGATTACACCTTCAACATAAAGAAAATGAAAATCCTCACATCATGATAAATGGAGAAAAGATTGAAGTTGTCAAGAATTTCATATTACTTGGATCCACAATCAACGCCAATGGAAGCAGCAGTCAAGAAATCAGATGATGTATTTGCACTTGGCAAATCTGTGGCAAAAAGTACTGAAGAGCAAAGATGTCTCTTTGAAGACTAAGGTGTGCCTAATCCGAGTCATGGTATTTTCAGTCATCTCATATGCATGTGAAAGCTGGACAATGAATACGGAAGACCGAGGAAGAGTTGATGCTTCTGAGTTGTGGTGTTGGCAAAGAATGCTGAAGTACTGTGGACTGCCAGAAGAACTAACACATCTGTCCTAGAGGAAGTGAAGCCAGAATGCTCCTTGGAAGTGAGAGTGGTCAGACTTTGTCTAACCTACTTTGGTCATGTCAGAAGGGAGCATTCCCTGGAGAAGGATATCATGCTTGATAAAGTGGAAGGTCAGCAAAAGAGGAAGGCTGTCAATGAGATGGACTGACACAGTGGCTGCAATGATGGACTCAGGCATAGCAAGGATTGTGAGGCTGGCATAGGAACAGGCAGAGTTTTGTTCTGTTGTACGTAAGGTAGCTATGAGTTGGACCTGACTTGAGGGCACCTAACAACAACAATAACAGTTCCCTAATAAACTCCTTAATCATAAGTATTGTGAGTTCCGTGTGGCCATCGCAACGAATTGTCATAGCCAGTAGAGAAGTAGTGAGTGCTGTGGGAGGGATAGTTGGTGTCAGAGTTGGTAAAAGGATTAGAGGGTGGCAGCATGTCTGGCCTTATAGGAAAAAGCCTCAGGCTGTTGTTGCTGTTTAGTTTCCCCCTCGGGAGGGTGGAGGAGGTCAAAGGAAGATGCCTCCTCCACACTCTCTTTGCAGAGGGCAATTGGAAATCTCCTAGTTGTTAGTGAGAATGTAAACTGGTACAACCTCTCTTGAAAACTGTTGGTACTGCAAAACACATACACACATATATACCCTATTCCAGGAATACATCCCCAAAAGAAATGAATGTTTTTGTCCATGAAAGGAAAATAATGTTTATAGCAGTGTTATTCATAATACTAAAAAAAAAAAAAAAATCTGGAATCAACCCAAATGTCTGTCAAAAGAATGAATGAATGAACTATGGTACAATCATACAGTGAAATACTACACAGAAATACTAAAGAGTTAACCATCATTATCTAGAATATTGTGGATAAATAGCACAAACATGATGTTGAGTTACAAAGCAAGAAAAAAAAACAGCATTTTTCTCTTTTTATTTATATGAAATTCCAAATCAGACAAAATTAATCTATGGTAACAGAGGTCAGAGTACTTGATTACCTGTTTTGGGGAGAGGGAAATAGTTTCAACTAATGAAGTACCAGGGAACCTGCTTAGGTAATGGAAAGTTCTATATCTTGATGTGGATGGTGGTTACATGGGTATACGCAAACCAAACTCACTGCCATTGAGTCCATTTCAACTCATAGAGACTTCCTTTGGGTTTCTGAGGCTGTAGATCTTTCTGGAAGTAGATTGCCCCATCTTTCTCCTATGGAGCAGCTGGTGGGTTTGAACCACTGACCTTCTGGTTAGCAGCCAAATGCCTTACTCACTATACCACTAGAGCTCCTTTACATGGGTATAGGCATATGCAAAAAATTCAACAAGCTGTACACTTAAAATTCACTTACTTTTCTATATGTAAATTATACCTTCATGTAAAATACAAAAAAAAAAAAATAGAAATAACCACTGGACTGTAAAAAAGTTACAACTGGACTGTAAAAAAGTTACAACTATTTTTGTAACATTAAAACAAAGGTAGTATTTAGGAACTGAAAGAGAAAGGTTGTGGAACAAGGTGCCCCATCTTATGCCCCAATTCAGTTACGTATTTATTGTCTGGAGGCCAAAAGCCATCACCTCCTTCTATTTCTATACCATGGCTCTAGGATCCTGACACTGCTGATGTCACTGACCCCCTTCTCCTACCTCCTGAAGAAAGAACATGAATTTCATCTTAAGTTACTCTTTTAAAACATATGAAAAAGGATATTCCTATCAGATCCAATCAGCTAGCCAGAAGGCTGGCAATTGAAATCCACCAGCCACTCCTCAGAAGGAAGTCTGGGCAATCTACTTCCATAGAGATTGTTGTTGTTGTTTTTGTTAGGTGCCATCAAGTCATCGCCAACTCATAGAGACCCTAAGCACAGCAGAACAAAACACTGCCTGGTCTTGTGCCAGCCTCACGATCCTTGTTATATCTGAGCCCATTGTTGCAGCCACTGTGTCTGTCCATCTTGTTGAGGGCCTTCCCCTTCTTTGCTGACCCTCCACTTTCCCAAGCATGATATCCTTCTCAAGAGAATGGTCCCTTATGACAACATGACCAAAGTAGGTAAGATGAAGTCTGGCCATACTCGCTTCCAAGGAGCATTC